ATGCCGCCTAAAGGGAGCTGGCCTAACCTTCCGCGCCGAGAAATGTAAGTTTCTACAACGTGAGGTATTGTTCCTGGGCCATATTTTGTCTTCCGATTGGGTCCAAACGGACCCGGATAAGACCAGACACATCGCTGAGTGGCCGACATTGACGAATGTCCGTGGGTTACTTGGTTTCCTCGATCTGGCATCATACTACCGGAGATTTATCAAAGGATTTGCGGCCATCAGTGCACCACTCCACAGGCTTACCCAAAACGATCGGAAATTTTCGTGGACCGTAGTGTGTGATGAAGCCTTCAGCCGTCTTAAGCAAGCACTAACCCCCACCTATTTTGGCATACCCGGACTTCTCACCCGATGCAAGAAGGTTTGTTTTAGATACCGATGCTAGCGAAATTGCGAATGGTGCTGTACTGTCCCAACGTGTTGGTGACCGAGAAGTTGTTATCACATATGGTAGCCGCGTCCTAGATAAACGTGAACTTAACTACTGGACCACCCGACGCGAAATGCTTGCCCTGGTGTACTTTCTCTATCACTTCCGGGCCTACTTGCTCGGCGGGCACTTCCTTGTTCGGGCAGACCATCACTCACTACAATGGTTACAGAGTTTCCGCGACCCCGACGGTCAAGTTGCACGTTGGCAAGAGCGGATTAAAGAGTATGATTTCTCTTGCATCTATCTCCCGAGCGCCAGACATTCGAACGCCGACGCCTTATCCCGAAGGCCAGTCCAGGAACTAGAGTCTGTTAATGTATTGCTCGCGCCTAATCGAATAAACTGGGCAGAAGAGCAATTCAGGGATATAGATATTGGCGAGATTTACCGCCTCCAGCTGCAGGGTAACTCCAAAGCTTCTGGGCGCCTGATGGCCTCGAGATCCTCGGCAGCACGGAGTCTGTCGTCACGATGGGGGCAACTACGGATTATATCCTGAGTGCTCCACCTTGTGGATAGTTGGGATGGCCAGCCTCGTGTCGTCGTACCCCGTAGTTGCGTCCAAAGGACCATCTCAGCAGTCCACCGAGATTTGGGACACGCTGGGCAGAAGAAAACGGAAGCGCAAATTAGACGGCGTTATTGGTGGTTTCTACTACACCACGACGTTGCGGAGTTTTGCCGGCACTGCTCAGTGTGTGCGACAACGAAGGCCCCCGCTATAACTTCCCGAGCACCGCTCCAACCGATCCCCGTACAAGGACCGAACCACCGAGTGGGTATTGATGTCATTGGACCCCTACCGGACACCAGAAAAGGTAATCGTTTCATTGTCGTCATGGTCGACTACTTAACTAAATGGTGTGAAGCTGTGCCAGTGAAGCAACAAGATGCCCGTACGATCGCTTCAGTGATAATCTCTGAGTGGGTATCGCGCTATAAGGTGCCAGTCATTCTCCACTCTGATCAGGGCCCAACCTTTGAGAGCTGCCTACTGCAAGAAATATGTGCATTTCTGGGGATCCATAAAACGAGGACAACACTGTATCATCCAGAGGGGAATGGCCTGGTGGAACGCACCAACAGGACCATAAAGAAAATACTAACCACTCTCGTGGATCGCTATGAAGGGGAACGGTGGGACGAACACATTCCGCTATGCATGCCTATCGAACAGCTACACACGAGTCGGCAGGTTACGCACCGGCGTTTTTACAACTCGGCCACGACCTCCGACTACCTCGAGACGCAGACACGCCTGTGGTCCCTGCAGACCAGGTTGGCACTAACGAATATGCCCGGTCACTCAGAGAACGCCTGTTTAGAGCACTATAAATCGCCCGTGAAAACATTGGACATGCACAGCAACACCAGAAAACTGTGTACGACCGCAAATCACGCGGACCTCTGTATGAAGTAGGCGACTATGTGCTCCTACACCGGCCGAAAGCACCACCGGGTGCGCCCGCTAAATTCCATCGCATGTGACAAGGACCTTATGTTATAGTTATTAAAAGACCAAACAACACCTATGTCATTCGTGACTCTTCTAAGCCACATGCGGATGTACAGTGAGTACATTACAATCAGCTAAAGCCCTACCCTTCACCTCTCCCTGACACTCAGCCGTCTACGCCCTCCTACCCCCCACATGTCAGCCATACCTTTGAGATCAATACATCCGACACAAACATCCCTTCTTAGCACTGAGGAGAGTGCTCATACTCGGGAGGGGGGCAGTGTAACGCAGTTGAAACCCGACTGCACCTGATTGTACGTCTATCATATGACATTATGTACGCCTCCCCCTCCTTCTCTTCCTTATTGCAGGCACCACGGACGAGTCACCACGGGCCCTGGACAGGGAAGAGTATTCCGCTTGTACACCCCCTAACTGACCTTGACCCAACTTTGTACACCCCTGACTTCCGGTTTCGGTTTCGGTTGAATACACGTGTGTCGTTACCACGCTCCGGTGTTCTCTTCTGTCCCGCCCGATCTGTGCGCATGTGTGCTGTGTGTACCGTGTGAACTCATTAGTACCAGTCCGTATATCTGCACATTTCAGAACCGACGTGTGCCGTCGCTACATCCTCTCGGACATCGAATACCGCCGACTTCCTGACGTCCTACGCTACAAACTTTCAGATAGTTTTCCAGCTGGAATGAATCCCTTGACATTCTAGTGTCTAACTGGCATTTGTGGATGCAAATTGTGCGGAGGTGCTATTCCTCTAAAAATTTTGCCCGATAATTACTGTTACCGGTTAAAATAGCCTAGTCCACGTTCATTGTTAGCAAAAACTCTGCAAGTTTGTTATTAAACAGCATAATGTTCCGTTATAAATTGCGAATCATGCTAAGAAGACCGTGCAGTTGATCGCTTTTTGATACGGAGCAGGCGTTGATCATAGCGGACAGCTGAACGAACCCGGCTGAAGCGCACGACTAACATGCAGCTAGGAGCTTGCGATGTCTAATCCGCTGACCAGAGCGCGGGCGTCTGTCTGCGCCGGAAAAAAAGTCCAAAAAAATCGAAATAAAAAGTTGAGTTGTGCT